CCCAATTAACTATTATTCATATTGGGATTATTATTGCTATTATTATATTAATTATTAATATTATTATATGTATAATTTGTTTATATTCAATAAGGGTTTTTGCTATTATGTTATTATTATTCCATTAATTATTTTATTAATGGGTTTATTTGGGGAAGCTTTATTTAAATTAAAGCTTATTTTTAATGTTAATTATGGTTTCTATATTATCATAATGGGTAACTTAAACCATGGGGGTGGTATTATAGCTGGTTTTTCCAGTTAAGCTTGGATATTTCCCTGGATGGGTAAGTGGTTACATCCAGGGTGGGGAAAATGATACAGGGGGGGTAATATATCCAGGGTGGGGGAAGCTGGAATCGGGTGGGTAAGCTGGATATCCCGGGTTGGTAAGCTGGTAATCCAGGGTGGGTAAGCTGGTATATCCAGGGTGGGTAAGCTGGTATATCCAGGGTGGGTAAGCTGGTATATCCAGGGTGGGTAAGCTGGCATATCCAGGGTGGGTAAGCTGGCATATCCAGGGTGGGTAAGCTGGTATATCCAGGGTGGGTAAGCTGGTATATCCAGGGTGGGTAAGCTGGTATAACCAGGGTGGGTAAGCTGGTATACCAGGGTGGGTAAGGGTGGCATATCCAGGGTGGGTAAGCTGGCATATCCAGGGTGGGTAAGCTGGATATCCAGGGTGGGTAGCTGATATCCCCGGGTGGGTAAGCTGGATAAACCAGGGGGGGTAAGCTGGTATATCCAGGGTGGGTAAGCTGGTATATCCAGGGTGGGTAAGCTGGCATATCCAGGGTGGGTAAGCTGGCATATCCAGGGTGGGTAAGCTGGTATATCCAGGGTGGGTAAGCTGGTATATCCAGGGTGGGTAAGCTGGCATATCCAGGGTGGGTAAGCTGGCATATCCAGGGTGGGTAAGCTGGCATATCCAGGGTGGGTAAGCTGGCATATCCAGGGTGGGTAAGCTGGCATATCCAGGGTGGGTAAGCTGGATATCCAGGGGGTAAGCGGCATATCCAGGGTGGGTAAGCTGTTTTTATCCAGGGGGGGGTAAGCTGGTATATCCAGGGTGGGTAAGCTGGCAATTTCCCGGGTGGGTAAGCTTGGCATATCCAGGGTGGGTAACTGGCATAAACCAGGGGGGGTAAGCGGTATATCCAGGGTGGGTAAGCTGGATATCCAGGGTGGGTAAGCTGGCATATCCAGGTGGGGAAGCTGGTATATCCAGGGTGGTAAGCTGGCATATCCAGGGTTAAAGTGGCATATCCAGGGGGGGTAAGCTGGCATATCCAGGGTGGTAAGCTGGGCTATCCCGGGTGGGTAAGCTGGTATATCCAGGGTGGGTAAGCTGGTATATCCAGGGTGGGTAAGCTGGCATATCCAGGGTGGGTAAGCTGGCATATCCAGGGTGGGTAAGCTGGCATATCCAGGGTGGGTAAGCTGGTATATCAGGGTGGGTAAGCTGGATATCCAGGGTGGGTAACTGGCATATCCAGGGTGGGTAGCTGGATATCCAGGGTGGGTAAGCTGGATATCCAGGGGGTAAGCTGGTATATCCAGGGTGGTAGCTGGCATATCCAGGGTGGGTAAGCTGGATATCCAGGTGGGAAGCTGGATATCCAGGGTGGGTAAGCTGTTATATCCAGGGTAGGTAAGCTGGCATATCCAGGGTGGGTAAGCTGGCATATCCAGGGTGGGTAAGCTGGCATATCCAGGGTGGGTAAGCTGGCATATCCAGGGTGGGTAAGCTGGCATATCCAGGGTGGGTAAGCTGGCATATCCAGGGTGGGTAAGCTGGGATATCCAGGGTGGGTAAGCTGGATATCCAGGGTGGGTAAGCTGGCATATCCAGGTGGTGTTAAGCTGGCTATATCCAGGGTGGGTAAGCTGGCATATCCAGGGTGGGTAAGCTGGCATATCCAGGGTGGGTAAGCTGGCATATCCAGGGTGGGTAAGCTGTATATCAGGGTGGGTAAGCTGGATATCCAGGGTGGTAAGCTGGCATATCCAGGTGGGTAAGCTGGTATATCCAGGGTGGGTTTAAACTGGCATATCCAGGGGGTAAGCTGGCATAATCCAGGGTGGGTAAGCTGGATATCCAGGGTGGGTAAGCTGGCATATCCAGGTGGGTAAGCTGGCAAATCAGGTGGGTAAGCTGGCATATCCAGGGTGGGGAAGCTGGCATATCCAGGGTGGGTAAGCTGGCATATCCAGGGTGGTAAGCTGGGATAAACCAGGGTGGTTTAAACTGGATATCCAGGGGGGGTAAGCTGCATATCCAGGGGGGGTAAGCTGGATATCCAGGGTGGTAAGCTGGCATATCCAGGGTGGGTAAGCTGTATATCCCGGGGGGGTAAGCTGGATATCCAGGGTGGGTAAGCTGGTATATCCAGGGTGGGGAAGCTGGTATATCCCGGGTGGGTAAGCTGGCATATCCAGGTGGGTAAGCGGCATATCCAGGGTGTAAGCTGGCTTTAATCCAGGGTGGTAAACTGGATAAACAGGGGGGTTAAGCTGGGATATCCAGGGTGGTAAGCTGGCATATCCAGGGGGGTAAGCTGGATATCCAGGTGGGTAGCTGGATATCAGGTGGTAAGCTGATATCCAGGGTAGGGAAGCTGGCATACCGGGGGTAAGCTGGTTCCAGGGGGGTAAGTGGTTTAAACCAGGGTCGTAAGCTGGCATATCCGGGTGGGAAGCGATATTCCCGGTGGGTAAAGCTGGCATATCCAGGTGGGTTAAGCTGGCATATCCCGGTGGGTAAGCTGGAATATCCCAGGTGGGTTTTAAACTGGTATATCCAGGTGGGTGCTGGCATATCCAGGGTCGTAACTGCATATCCGGGTGGGTAACTGGCATATCCAGGGTGGTAAGCTGCCATTCCAGGGTGGGTAAGTTTGGGATATTCCAGGGCGGGTAAGCTGGCATATCCCGGGTGGTAAGCGGCATATCCAGGGTGGGTAAAGCTGGCTATCCCGGGGTAAGCTGGCTTCCATGGTGGGTAATTTCTAAGTGGTATCCGGGTGGTCAAGCTGGTATCCCGGGTGGTTAACTGGCATTCCGGGGCGTACTTGCATATCCAGTGGGAAGCCTGTTCCAGGGGTAATCTTTGGCATATTCCCCTTTAAGCTGGTATTCCGGCGGGAAACGGCAGTATCCAGGGTGTAGGGAAACCCGGCAACCAGGGTGGGTAACAGCATTCCATGTTCCTCTGCTGTGCTTCCTTCACTGTGTGTACACTAGGGTATTTCTCTAATTGTGGTTGCAGGTGTCGAGTCATAGCTCCTGGCCCCGCCTCTTCACTGGTCGCCATTAGCTAGGTCCATTCTCTCCCTGCTCCATGTTCTTTATCATACCTCATCTTAAAGCTATGTATAGTACCTGTCTCCACTACATCACTTTCCAGACTATTCCACTTCCTGACAACTCTGTGGTACTTCCCTCACTGTGTACACAGTGAGTGTACTTCCTTCACTGTGCGCACGGTGAGGGTACTTTCACTGTGTACACAGTGAGTGTACTTCCTTCACTGTGCGCACGGTGAGGGTACTTTCACTGTGTACACAGTGAGTGTACTTCCTTCACTGTGTACGCAGTGTACACTGAGTGTACACAGCTCTGTGTCTCAGACGAAGTCAGTGCTTTTTAACGTAATTGATTTTTATTGGCACAGACATTCAGAAATCTAGTGAAACCGGAATAAACAGAGCACACAGGGATTCGAACCTTAATCCTGGCAGTCTCTCGTCTACTCTGCTTATTCAGTGACAGTCGTTCGTCACGACTTGAGTTTTAAGTGATGCCATTCCCACCCTTAACCACCAGCTTATGTTTTCCTGGTAAATTGGAGAACGTAAAGACAATATATGTGTAATATATCTTGACTGAGGAAATCGTAAGAACACTGAGCGTAAACAAACCGCAGAACTGCTGGGGGTCGAACCCATGACAGGTTGGGCCAGTTGTTAGCACACTGGCTTGTTAGTTTTAGGATTCGCCTGCCATTGGTTCGATCCCCACGTCTTTGTATAGTATATTACACAAGGAAGTACGGATCGAACCAAGAGCAGGTGATTCCTGAAACTCAGAGGCCGGTGTGCTAACCACTGGCCTCTTTGAGTTACTTTAAACAGAGGTATCAGAGGTATTGCTCACAAGAACTTGTCCCCTTCTTTAAATGTTATTGACTAATTATTGTTGAATATTACTGTTTTTTTTATTATTGTTGGTTATTGATTCATTATTGTTGAGAAGTCTATAGCAATGACAGCGCAGGATAGCCCAAGCCAGTGCGGCTTGTTTCCACTGGAGTTTTTAGGTTTCTCCCAGGATGCGACCCACAGGGCAGACTATCTCCCAGGTAACAGAAGCAGTAGGTGTTAGGAGACCCAGGCTGCCTCTGATGCTACTTTTAAAGGAGTTATGTTACCTGGGAGTCTGTGTCGTAAGTAGGTAGCAAAGTAAGGACAAGGAGAGAAAGTAACCCCCTCTTTCTGCAGTGAAATATGAGGTCTTTGCCGCCTCTTCTCCGTAGTTAATTAAAATGAAAATGGCTCGTCGCTGTTTTCTCACTTTCTTTCTCAATTTACCTGTTTCCTATTTACAACAGAGTTGAGAATGGTAAGACATTTACCCGGGAAATGTTTCGCCACGAGTAGGCTTTTTTTTTTTTTTTTTGTTATAGAGGCCACTCGTGGCGAAACGTGTCCTCAGTGTCTTGAAATGTAAATACAGTAATGTCTTTCAGTTGTACATACCGTTGTTACCAGCGTACCTCTTCGCCAGCCATAATGCTTAGTACGGTGTAAGTTGTCAGGTGCCCTGTATGGTTCAATACGGTGTGAGCTGTCAAGTGTTATATATGGTTCAATACGGCGTGAGCTGTCAGGCGCTCTATATGGTTCAATACGGTGTGAGCTGTCAAGTGTTACATATGGTTCAATACGGTATGAGCTGTCAGGTGCCCTATATACTGCCATCAAGAACAATGAGGGACTGACCTTTAGTGGTGGTGGAGAAGTTCCTCAGTAGGTATGAGTCAGAGTCTAGACCCTCGTTGGATCCTGAAGACTTTCACATCCAGGTATCCGGCTGCCCCGCCACTGCTGCTGGTCCCAGCGCGTCGGGCGGCGCTGTTGGTGGTTGCTGGGGTCCTCTTGACCGTGGCCCGGTTCTTCTGCGGTGGACGGGTTACCCGCGTGGGCGTGGGGGAGTGGCTGGGCGACGAGGCTGTGGGCGGGCGTGCGCGGCGGGCGGAAGCGGAGCGGTGTAGGACCGGTGAGCCGTCGACGTCGTCGCCGCCGCCGCCGGCTTCGAGCGATAGCGTCACGAGGCGGCCACAGGATGGAACCTTACGCAGGAAGGGGTTGTAGGAGGCGTCTTCTGGGGTGGTGACGAAGGCAGCAGAGGCGTCGGCGTCCAGTTCTAGCCGGGGTTCCGATCCCCGCGGGGATTCTTGACGCCGCACGCGCGGCGGCCTGGAACCCTGCACGCGGCAGGACTGTGACCGTCGTGCCGCTTGCGTCGCTTTCAGCCTAGACCTCGGGCTGGACGACGCATGGTGCTGGGCTTGTGCGAAGGCCGCAGCGTGCGCGCGGACGTCCATATGTATATCCGAGGACGAGTGCGCAGAGTGGAGAGCGGACAGCGGCTGGGACGGCGCGCAAAATGATGCACTCCGTCCCTTTTCCGCTGCCCGCCTCACCAGCTCCGCCTCCGCCACAGTCATCATGTAAACACAACCACCCAACCAACACCTCCCTCAACCTCAGCCCTTCCCCCGCGCGTGGCACAGCGTGGCACAGCGACCGTCCGGTGTGGTATCCGCCGCTGCTGGACCAACTAACACTTGGAGTGCTGAGACACTCACTCACTCGAACACAACACGTGTGGACACTGCTCACAGCTACACTGCTGCTGCCTTCCCTGACGCCCTCACCAGTGACACTGTGGCTGCCAGCCAGCCAGCTAGCTAGCCACCCGCCCTGCCGCCCACCCACCCGCAACGCCCTCCCTCCCTCACCCCGCCCACCCACAGCGCCCTCCCTCACCGCCCACCTTCCCCTCATTCTCCCTCCAGCTGCCGCTACCGATGCTTCTACTGCTGTTATTTATACAACCACTGCTGTTGTTATCGTTGCTTATACAACTTGTGCTGCATCTGTTTCTAATGATGTTGTATATGAAGCTGCACTTGCAAACTAGATTTAAATTTTGCTGCCGAAGCTGCATCATGTGGAGGGCAGCGCAACACCATATGGATACACAAAAAGGCCTAGGAACTAGACCCCAAAAGGGTTAACAAGAGTACATCTGGATTTACATTGCAGTCAAACTTGGGATATTTGCTTAAACATCTGGTATCTTATTTTCATTAATTAGATATCCTGACATATCACGTGGGTCATTATACTGTCTCTATATTCGTCAATACGTGGACAATAAAGCACAAATTGTTGTAGATACTGACCATAAGACTGACCACATACAGGCTTAGGCTTGAAACCAAGCCTAAGCCTGGCTACTACAACATCAGTCAATCTGTTTAAGAAGCCGAGTCAAGAGGGTACTTAGATGTTACAACAAGAAAACACAAAGAAGTCACGTCTTCTAGACGTGGCTCCTTAGAGTCACATCAAGAGGACATTAATTGCAGTTGTTGAGGCATCAAATATTAAAGGAACATGTCAATATTATCTAACTGGTCAGTATGGTTACACTGTCATACTTGGAGGGTGGTACACTGAACTAATTAAATGTTACGACATATCAGTAAAGGAGAGAGAGAGAGAGAGAGAGATCGAGAGAGAGGGAAGACTGGTAGGATACATTTGGTTCTGAGAGAAGACGGATGATGAGTGTCTGCCTAGACAGTATGATATCATCAGTGAAGGTCTATGCATCAATCCATGATTTTTAGAGCCCCGTGATGAGGATAATCTTATGATTTGATTCCCCGTGGTTCGATGGTTCGATTTCCCGTGTATTTCTCAGTTTAATCATAATCCCTTTGTTGGACAAATAACATTATAGAGTTACTTTATTTGGACCTAATTAGAGCCTTTCCAGAGCAAATGATTTTGTTGGCATTGCCTCTGGCCAATAGGAAGGCTCTCCCCATCCAAAAGTAACCAATCAGAAAGCTCTAGCTCCTCCCCTACGTTAGTCAGGAACTGAGATGTTAAGCACTGTCGTTCTGTTGAAATTATTCAAAATATCGACAAGTTGATGATTAAGATACATGTGCAGCAGTTGAGTATCTTTATTGACGAAACGTTTCGCCTACACAACAGGTTTCCTCAGTCAAATACAGAGGCAGCAGGTGTAGTAGTGAAATGAAGATGATTTAATTACTCCAGCCTCTTCTCCAGGCCACGTCCTGACCACCTCAAATATTACTTCTCCAAGGTTGATGGACTGATTAAATCATCTTCATTTCACTACTACACCTACTGCCTCTGTATTTGACTGAAGAAGCCTACTGTGTAGGCGAAACGTTTCGCCAATAAAGATACCCAACTGTTGCACATGTCTTCTACACTTGACAGTAGATAGTTCTCAGCCGCTTGTTAGTAGGAAGGATCACTATTTACACTCAATTTCCCCTCAAGGAAGGCTCCCTATGTTGGTGAGGGGCTCTTGATCTAGGGAATTGGATCTGTGCTCCAGTTCCCTGAATTAAGCCTGATTACCTTCCACATTTCCCCCTCCCACAGGCGCTGCATAACTCCTACGAGTTTAGCGCTCCCCTTCATTATAATAATAATGCACTCAATTTCAAACATTCGTAGCTATGAGAGATACGAGAAAAGCCATAAGAGTAAACAATAAGACCTTAGAATGTGCCAGTCTGAGACACCAGAGCCACATCCACCATAGTGATGCTCCAGTGTTGGGGAACATAAGGGAGGTTAACGACTCTTTAAACACACTCGGATGCCTTAAAAGATCTTTTTGGCTTTGCACAAAGTATTTCACCCTTACCGTCACTCTTGTTGAGCTGATTCTTAATTACACGTGGGTTCCATGATGGCTCTGCGTACTATATATTATTATTTAATTTTTTTATTATCACACTGGCCGATTCCCACCAAGGCAGGGTGGCCCGAAAAAGAAAAACTTTCACCATCATTCACTCCATCACTGTCTTGCCAGAAGGGTGCTTTACACTACAGTTTTTAAACTGCAACATTAACACCCCTCCTTCAGAGTGCAGGCACTGTACTTCCCATCTCCAGGACTCAAGTCCGGCCTGCCGGTTTCCCTGAATCCCTTCATAAATGTTACTTTGCTCACATATGTTATTATTGCTATTATATATTATACAGTATGCAGCGCCAGCATGGCACCCACGCGGGATTAAGCATAAACCTCACGATAACTTGTAACGAATGACTGTCAGTGAACACACAGAATAATGGACAGGTGCTCGAACCGTGGTTCTTATAGTTGCTGACCCAACCTTGTCCCTTTGAATCAAGAACCTTACAAATGGAACATTTTTACAAACAGCGCTTCAGAGATGGCTGTATCAGTGATACCAGTTGTTTGGAAAATCTTCCTGTTGTAAGCATCTTGGCTGAGTGGTGCAGCATTGAGCCTCCAACTGCTAGGACCACGGTTGGAGTCCCAGTCCATTCTTCCGTTTATTCATGGTTACGCATGTTGCAACACTCGAGCAAGATTAGAGGTTTGTCTCCTAATCTTCCTTTAATCTATCCTTCAGTTTGTTCTCTAATCTTCCTTGAGTCTGTCGTCATAACCCAATCCCGGAAGGGATTGGGTTATGAGGATAGACTAGAGGAACTTAACCTAACAGCAGTAGAAGTAATGGGGTTTACCTGGAGTTTACCTGGATTTTTTGAAACTCGATCCCCCGTTTGCTCAGCCCAATTGGATCACTTAGCATAAGGACTTGTGGAACGACAGCAGAAGAGGATAGAGAAGATTACGACATAATTAACTGATTCTTTTATCAAGATTGTTGGACTGATCACATCTACCCCAAGCTGAGGGACTGATTACCTTAACCTCCTTCTGATCCGCAACCATTCTCTGAAATGGACTGGGGAAGCCACTGGCTGGAGAAACGTTTCCGCAGCACAGATTCCCAAGTATTGCACAAATGTTTCATTTATCAAGACTACGACGAACAAGATACCAATAACACAGATGTGGACAGTGATTGAAATGTGAGAAACAGGAGGATTGAGGCCCAGGGGAAGCTAAAACCTCTTACTGTGTAACATTTGTAAACAAGCCAGTGTAGTAAGCACGAGGATTTGGTGGAATCAAACTCCATAACAAAGATTCAGGAGACGATTCAGTGGTACCAAACTCCATAACAAAGATTCAGGAGACGATTCAGTGGTACCAAACTCCATAACAAAGATTCAGGAGACGATTCAGTGGTATCAAACTCCATAACAAAGATTCAGGAGACGATTCAGTGGTACCAAACTCCATAACAAAGATTCAGGAGACGATTCAGTGGTACCAAACTCCATAACAAAGATTCAGGAGACGATTCAGTGGTACCAAACTCCATAGCATTGATTCAGGTGATGATTCAGTGGTACCAAACTCCATAACAAAGATTCAGGTGACGAGTCAGTGGAATCCAGCTCCATTGTGGTAAGCAGTGGCAGACTTGCCTACCTGCTGGTTGAGCACGGTGCACTCTTTCTTGGTTCAGCTTTGCCATCTGCCACTGTGGTGTACACTTATTCTATCTGTACATATTGTACATAGTGTACATACATAGTGTACATACCTGCTGAGTTTGCTCCAATTCCCATTACGACCAGGTCTCACAGGCCACACACTGCGTGTGTCCGTAACAGGTAAGTACATACAGATAAGTACACTCACCTACGCCAGTACAATTCACAACTTTTCACAACACATCAAAGGCACATTTTACAAGTCACAATAAGTACCCTCCAACCTTTCACAATTTTTTCCAGCATTTTCTGAAAATATTTTTATTTTCTACCTGACCAGTTGTTATGGAGTCTGAAACACTTATTGTCTAAAGTCCAAAAAAAAATTCTCGACATTTTTTTCAGGGGGATCTGAAAATGACACGAGATTCTCTCCCCCCCCCTCCCCTTCGAGGGGGAGAGGGGAGAGAATCTCAATGGCACCCCTAAGTGAGGGTAATGTCATTGTTGTTGTTATAGCAAAAAAATGGATTCATTAGTAATGTGCTGCTCCCCTCTTTTGTGTGGTGGAATGTGTTGGTGTGAATGTGAGGGGAGGGGAGGGGAAGGGGTGTCATGTTGGGGGTCTCCGTCATCACATACTGCACAAATTCGTTCCCAGGTCGTGAAAGCCCTTAAAAAAACTATCCGGTCATGTACCTTTGCTTATTTTAGCCATAACTTGCCTATGTCTGCGTGTGTCGACGAACTGCTGCTCTGAGACGGGCCCAGATGTTCTCATGACTGTCTCCTCTGTGTGTGTGGTGTGTGTGTGTGTGTGTGTGTGTACACCGTGTGTGTGTGTGTACACCGTCAGGTGTGTGTGTGTCTGTGTGTATACACCGTCAGGTGTATGTGTGTCTTTGTGTATACACCGTCAGGTGTATGTGGTGTTTGTGTATACACCGTCAGGTGTGTGTGGGTGTGTGTGTATACACCGTCAGGTGTTGTGTGTCTGTGTGTATACACCGTCAGGTGTATGTGTCTCCGAGTGTATACACTGTGGATTTAATATAATCATTTAAGGATTAAAGTATTCTTGATCTTAATGACTGCGAGTAACCTGTTCGTATAGTCGATAGGCTTTAAACCCTCATTAACTAACCTGACGTCACCCAATACCCTCCTGTTCCTAATTGATTTTTTACAATAAATTAGTCAATATGTCGATTAATGGACGAAGGATCGAGCTTCCACTTACTGAATTATGTTTTTTTGCATATTATATATTATATAA